ACGTAACGGATCTGCGTAAACGTCTGGAGCGATTTACTGATGTGTCTGTTCGAAATATTATATAAATGCGATAACAAATGGCACGTCGTCAATAGTTTCTTTCAAAATAAATGATTTGTGTATATCATGAGACACTTTAGAAATACATACAGGTATATCTTTGGATACTGCGATAATAAATGTACAATAGACGTTTGAAAAGAAACTTATAAATATAAAGTAGAATTATTTTTTATTTTTCACAAATTAATTATTATTCTCAAATTATTTTGCGGTAACTACAATAGAACATATTGCATTGAAGTCTCGAGAAAATATATTTATTAATATATATATATATATAATGTGTGCTAAGAGTACTAATCTGTGCTGAGAGTACAATAGTATTAAAATTTTAATTAATTACGTATATAGTCCGATATAATTATCGAACTATACATGTAATTAATTAAAATTTTAATCATCGATATCTTATATATAATCGTTAACGTTATTATAATTTCTAACAAGTTTATTAAGAATTAAAAGACATAATTTTATCTACTCACTATTGTTACTCTAAAAATTTTTATTTATCTCAATATTTTATTCTATAAAATATTAAGGAGATTGTAAGGCAAATGCAATATGTTAAGAATTACTTGAAAAAAATTATAGTTTATCTAAATTGCATTTAAAAATAATACAAAAAAATTAGAGACAGTTGATCATCTGGATCAAAAATTATTTCAATAAAAAGTAATATTTTTTAAACTCTAATAAAAATATATGAAAATATATGAAATATATGAAATATGTGAAAATGTATTACAAAGTAATGATACAAATTTCAATTTTTTTATAAGTGCTTTATGAATTCAAAAATATTTATGTAAAGTTACATTGAGATGCAGATATTAATTGTTCAGTAAATAAACAAAATATTTATTTGTTATAAAAATTAATTAATGATTCTCAATAAAACTTTGCACAAGTCGTTTTTTTAGTTTACTTAAAATATTTATATAAAAAAATTTAGATTTTTATTATTATTTTTAAAATTTTTATTTACAACAATAAAACTAATATAAAATAAATAATTTATAAAAATGTGTTGCTCAATAAAAACAGAATGTTATAAACACAACTTTCACACGTATGTAGTTTGTTTAAAGCGTAAAAATTAATATGTGTTTTATGTCCTTGAAAGTCTTCTTAAATATAAATTTGCAGAAGAGACAATTGAAAAATTATATCATAATAACACGGAGGAGAGAAAGAGAAAGAAAGTGAGTAGAACATAATGAAAGATAAAGATGACGAAACTCACGCCGTTCGAACACGCGCGTTCTCGAGCTCGCGATACCTCCTGCCGTCATGCGATCCTGTTCAAATATATTTTCTTGCAAATACCCAGCTACCTTATCTGTTAACAATGGCAAATTTTATACACGTAGAATGGACGCTATGGACGGGTGAGTCCACTGTGCAGTGTGTTAGACCATCTCGGTACGTTATTTAGGCAGCTGGTCTCTTAGTTTCAAAAACGTACGCTACGTGGAGCGTATTCGATCGACTTTCTCGTCATTAAAATTGCTTCACCACTACTATAAATACGAGGCCAGGAGGTAAACTCATCAGCTTTGCGCAGTGGCGATATCGTAACCAATGAGGTTCTACCGAGGTGCGATTATTGCTAGTTGAAAACTTTTACCAATACCCCGCCATGACGATGTGAAATACCATCGGCTACGGCAATTTTTGAAAGTTTCTGCGGAAACTGATAATCGAAGATTCAAACATAAAATATCCTTAAAAATAGATTTTATCTCTACAAATTTTATTTGATAGGCGGTAGATTGTCTTTATTGAGACGTACATACATACTCCTACATAATGTATTCTAATTTTATTTATGCATGTTTAATTTTATTACGTATTTTTCTCAGATGTTTTATGAAAAATTCTTTAAATGAGAGTCTTCGTTGTACCTTTAAGCACAAAAAATAAAATATGAAACAAAATAGAAACATAAATAATTTAATAATAATTTAGGGAGAGCGAAATTCTTTATAAATACAAATAAAATAAAATTTTCTTCATTAAGTTTTAATAAAAATATCTCGAATATTAATATCTTTATAACTGGATTATTACGAAAGAATACTGAGAATACAATGATATAATGTTTCAATATAAATTTAACGTTACAACATAGTGTGTAATAATAAATTAATTTTATATATAATTAATAATAAATTAATAATAAATATTTTTTAAATTATATCAGAGTTAACTTCGCAATACAGACTTTACTTAAGAAATTGTTTCACATTGAGAATGACCCGATAATGTTTGTTGTTGGTTGAAACTATTTGTGTGTTTTTAAATATTAAATATAATATAAATATAATATAGTAAGCAACGAACACCTAGCTTGATCATAGCTCCTTTATTAATTATTTGTTAATAAATATTAAATAATTATTTTTATCCTGATACTTAAATATGAATTTTTATTATTTCTAGTTTTATTTTTAGTAACAAAAGATAAAATTATAATAATAATAATACCATTATTGTAAATAAATAATTTGCGCTTTTGTAGGAGAAACATAATAAATATCAAGTCTTTCTTTCTACTAAAAGTATCTTTAAAATAAAAACGTATTTTCTCACTAAAATTATATATAAAACAACATGAAATAAATTATCTTTTTTATCTCGATGTTACCAAATGTCATAAAGCCATTATTTCTCTGGCTAAGTTCTTTTTAAATTTAGACGAATTAAATAGCATGTGTCAGCTTGAGATCGATATTATAGAAATAAAAATTGTTATATTAAATATAACATATTCCTTTTTAAAAATAAATTTATAGAAACCTATTCTTTCTATTCATAAATTTCTTTCTAATTGCAGGTTGCTGGCAAGCGCGAAGCAAGCCAGGAAGCTGAAGCCCAACAATGGATGGAGACTGTAATCGGTCGAAGATTTCCACCAGGTGAGTCTTTGTATATAATAATTTAATTAATATAATATTATATTTTATTTTAATTCACACAGAAATATTCGTTCAGTTATTGAATAATAATCAAAAAGTGGCTTTTTTTTGTAATATTATAAAAAAAAAAACAAACGGCGCTTTTAATAATAGAATAGTTTAATAATAATAATTTTTAATAATTTAAATAATTTAATAAGTTTAATAATTTTTTTAATATACTTTAACGCGCTTTTTTTTTACTAAAAGTGAATGTAGTTGACAGTTTTATATAAAGGTCCTGTATTTATATATAATAGCTCTATAAACACATATGAACTCCTGTTCCGTGTAGGTGACGCGAATCCGAAAGCCTTTCGATGTTTTCATCCCCGTCGGGACGATTTAACTAAAAGGGTGGAAGCGTGTACTGTTATCTAACTAGAATCACATAATTGCCGGATACAAATGTCAGGTCGCGTGACGTCGCAAAGGTTAAGCTTCGTCGAGGTCAGTTCCCCCGTATAGTACGTCCGTCATGTGATCGAAAATGCAACCGGTGAAGGTACTGCCCGCTGCAGCACGATACTGATTTGGAATGTTGGAGCTACAACCTTGAGTACTAACTGATGCAAAACGTGTCATAATACAATATACATATAGTATATGAACGTTCAAACTCGCGTGTTACGCAACCATTGTCGTAAGTCCTTGAAATCGTCAAAATCGTGTTTGAAAAAGTATAGAGATAAATTTACACGAACGTGTAAATGTAATTTGGAATGTAAAAATCAATAATGTTTCATTAATATTCATGTTCGAAAAAAAAGATGTCCATATTTTTAATTACAACGGTAATTGTGACTTTTCATTTGTGTTTATGAATTTTTTAATTCGTATAAGGTTTGTTGAATATACGTGCAACGATCGAGTCTTCATGAATTGTTACTCATTGATGAATAAAAATTCAGCATGATTACGAGCCTATATAAACATATATGTACATAGAAATTGTGTAAACAATTTTTGTGAGATTACTGAACTCTGGCCGAACTGCTAGGGGTAGTTTCACCCTCTTGTTGCATTATGTTCGCCTGGCAAAACGCGCGCTTTGTTACGTCATTGCGAACGACCCTTATCGACCATACCTCGGCAGACAACCCTCGATTCGACATACATCCCTGTTGCGACAAACACGCCAGGCGTCGACGCAATCGGGATGATTATTTCACGTACGTTTGCGCGGCGCCCGCAAATAAATTTTATTTTATTCCTCTCTTCATTAGTTTCTCACTTACGAGTAGTCTGTATTAAGATGGATGCAATTTGATAAGCGAATCAAAAATTATACATTGCAAAATTATATGAAAAATCAATATCTTCAATCATATCATTCTTCACAATTATATTCTTCTCTATTATATTCGAAAGTAATAATTATAATTAATAGTCCCTAAGCGATATTAGTCTCGAAACGTATAATAGTAAAATTATGTAATATAAGTGAAATAAATATACAAGTGAATACAATTAAAATAAAACATTATATGAGAGAAAAATAAAAAAATTGGGAAAGAAGAGAGAAAAGAGAGAATTTTTCTTTGTGTTTATTAGAAAAACTTTGTTTGTTTATTGATTAAATTGATTATTATTTGATAATTTGTAGTTTATAAATAGCATAAAATATTATTTATTCATTATTCAATTATATTTATTATGTACATTATATATACTATATGCATACTGCATTTCGTAAAAAAATTTATAATTTGTTACTATATATAATATTTGTCTCTCTTTTAAAAACGTATGTTAAGTATATAAATCTACTCTCTGTAAAAAGTGACTGCAATTGAAAATATATTAAAAATAAATATATATAATATTAATAAATAAATATTATATATGAAACAATTCAATTAGGTTAATATTTATATTTAACAATACAATTTTAAATATAAGAATAAGACAAAAACAGAACCCTCAATATTAAAATAGTAAATATAATATATGTGATCTCAAATAAGAATCCAAGAATAAAATAACGTGTTATAACAATAAAAATAGAAAAGCAAATGTTAGAATATAATTATCCGCTAATATAATCTAATCGCAATCGCATTATATGTTTCGACTGCAAGTTCGAGCTCTCCTCAGATGTACAGAACACAACAGAAATATACTATAAAAAATATATTATACAATGTGTAAAACGAAGCGCAACCGCAAAAAGTCATACATAATATCATATAGTGTGAAATCCGTAATGGATGAAATACTTGAATCTAATCAATACTATCAGAGGAAACAAAAATTGATTGGAAACAAAAATTGACTCACCAATTGGTTGGATCGATTGAAAAAATCTTTTTCGTTGTGCTGTTGGATAGAGAAAGGGAATGTGTTTCCGACGTATTTAAATATCGCGCGAATCGGAAGAAAGATTCTTTGTGACAAGCTCAATAAATTTTTAGCGGAGGTTCTCATTGCTCTTAAACTATCGCAAGAACTCGTCATCGATCGGCTATCCCGCTGGGATTCCCCAAACGCGGATTCGTTTCCATCACGTTCGCTAAAATCTTTGGGCGGACAGGAATTTAAGATGTATCCGATAATGCTGATTATATCGAGTGTTTAGATTTAACGAGCCTCCACCTATGACTGTCATCCTGGTTGTGCTGAGGACGCGGTGGAGGTGGCCAAACGACGAAACCACCCCCACTCGGGTACATGATTAATCCCCACTGGGAACCTTCAGTACTTAGTCCATAAGTGGGGGTCTCCTCGGCAAGAAAGCTCTCTTGAACGAGTGACAGCCTGATGTTCGTGAATCTTGAGCTACCTGTCGGAAACACACGGCACTGACAATGAGTGTAAAAAAAAAAAGAAATCCAATTTCCAGATCCAATCCGATTTCCAGATTAATATCGATCACAATGCAGATAATTTTGCGATACAATTAATTTTCCGTGACAGTACATAAACACGGAGAGAAGTTTCTTTTGGAATTTCGTGGTAATCGTGAGATAACATAATATTTCAAAACATTTTATGTAACTCTTTCCGATTTATTACTAATTTCATAATAAAATATATTATATAAAATGTATTATTTTATTTAAAAACATAATAAAATTTTAGTAATTTAAAAAATGTTAAACAGTTTATGATTTTTTTTCATTGTTTCAAATAGAATAGATGCCAAATAGTCATAAACATATAAAATATCTTATACAAACTTTATAGTACAGTATGATATATTCAATCTGGCTTGGTCGCTTATGATAATTTTACCATCCAGTATGATAATTAATCAGCTCTACGTTTGATGATGTTTTTATAATATCTTTATTAAAATATCATTAAAGTTCATTAGTAAATGGTATCGTCGATAGATGTGATGGCATACAATTTTTTGTGTTTAAAAACCACCTAAAATAGAATAAGGCTCAATGCACCAATGTTACTTTGATTTTGAGGCTTAAAACTTTTTCTGTCTCTGTTTCTTTTTTGACTTTAAAACGAGGTCTAAAAGGCGCATTACGAGGTTATTCATTAATCCTAAAATTCAGTTCGATGACAAATATAATTAAGAGATGTACTTTAGCAATACAGTTTTTAGTTGTAACAGTTGTATATAAAAATTAATTCGAGAATCTTGATAATTACAAGATGTTATATATGTTAAAACATCATAGTATAATGGCAATCTGTGTTAAATATAATGTGTAAATGTTATGCATTTTAAATATTTTATATTTGTAAAACAATTTTTGCTTGGTAATTTTTATTATATAGTGTGGTTTGTAAAATGTATATTTTGTATATATTTTCAGAAATTCCTATAGTAATAATAATAATTAATAGGTTGCCAAATTGTTCTACGTTTATCATTAAATTTTGCAGCAAAACATAAAAAATTCTCTCCGTGAATAAATTTCTTATTAAATCTTGCAAATATATGTTTATATAATCGATCTGTGACTCTATTTATATATTTCTTTTTTTTATTTTTATTCTTTTGATATTATTTATAAAATTATACTTTTAGAATCTGTTATTAATAAGCATTATGAATATTTAAATATTTAATTTATATAAATATAAATTAACAAGAGAAAGCGGTGGCAATCGCAAATTAAGAGATGAATTATCATGAAATAATAAACCGTAACGCAAAATTATTCACTAAAGAAGAATTATTCTACCACGAAGGTCTCATTTATCGAATGTTAATTCCTATTAGTATTGCTCCAGTTGTATCAATACATGTAATTTGAAAACAAAATTCCAAGAATTATCAATTTTAATATGTATAAGACTTTAAATGTATAAGACATAATGACACTTGAAATTCCAACAGAATTCTATGCTTTACATTTTTGAACAGAATTTCGATTACTTTTTCAATTTTGATTTTTTAAGTATAACACAAATGCAAAACTCTTTTCTATTTCTTTCCATTTTAAAAAAAAGTTTTTTATACTAAAAAATCAAAACTGAAAATATGACGTACTAACTTCGCGAATTTAGTACATTTTCTCTCTAAAGTATAATACAAGAAAAAGAAAAATATTTTCACTTTTAATTACAAGTCGATTATAAGTAATCCACGATATAAAATGGCGATTGATATTAATCTCAATTATTTCCATCCATCTATCCATCCCTAGAGAAATAACATTTACGCTATTTCGTCTTCTTCCTGCTGCTCTGGTGCTTTGAGAACGCATATTCAGTATTCACCTTCAAACCCCATCTTCGGCGAAACGTGTCTAGGGGTGGTTTGGATCACAATGAACGGTATATATGTTACGTTCTAGCTCTATGCCAGGATGCGAGCCGGATAGTCGAAGCTTTTGATGTTATTGACTCGTTTAAAATTGAACTTAAACGATCGCGATGCAATCACACCCCTCTCACCGCGCCCCGTCTATTCCTGACCCGTCCTAGACATTGGAATCCTGATGCACGCGCAGCGGGGAATAATTTAATGGGAATTTCAAGATATCCCACGGGACTTCCAAATACGGATGATAGCCTGCTCCCGGAAGCTCGCCAGGCATGCTTGGCACGATCCTTGTCTGACGGCTCTCGATTGTAAAATATCATACTAACGACTTAGTCGCGACTTGTCTTGAATAATAACAATCGACGTGTCGTTGACTCGAGTTATATTTGAAAGCTAATTTAGCAATATCACGCCCATATTACGTATTTTAGTAATAAAAAAATAATAAGAGGCGTCCTGTATTTGCATATATATATATATTGAACTTACCTAATTAAAATTCTTCCGTGTTAATCGCAGATAAAATGATATAATTTTGACATCGATATCTTTTTACGTAGTAAAGACACAAAGATAAAAATTAGTCAAAGATAACAATTAATCAAATGATGGAGTATACGTTGATTAAATTAATATTGGGAAAATAAGCAGCTGGAAACGTTCATATTTTTATATTATCAAAATTTGTTTTTACATTAATTACTGAAAAAGTTTTTACGCTGATTTTAATTTAAGTAGAGTCAAATATGTCAGAATTTATATATTACATTTATATATATTACATTGTGTATATACGTTGATAGAGTATTTTCGTAGACACGTGTTTCCGTCACGCCGATCCCGTTGAATATTCTATTTTTCTTACGTCTTACGTTATTACCCTCGAACATTAGAGTTGATAGTCGACGATGCATATTGATTTACCGTCATCTGTACATCATGTTACGTCGTAGGGACGCTGGCGTACCAGGACCGCATACAGCACTCTGGATGGTCGTTCCTTGCTCTATACTAGTTTATGTGTCACCTTTCCTTCTTTCGCCTCTTAACCCTACTTCTTTCGCGTATAATTATCGCCTATGTTTGCGAGGTACTTCACTTGAATGGCGTTCACAATGGACGTCCGATAATTCTGACCGACAACTTCTTTCTTTCGGAACACAGAAAGAGATGTAAAATCCTGTTTTCAGAATTCAGTCCATCTAAACGAGATGGTAGCTCGTACAGAGAAAATTGCTTTTAAAGTTTAATATCTTGTGATTATACTAAATATGTGATAACGTGTGAAATTGAGTTTTAGCACAGAGCGCTGTTCAAATTTAATTCCCTCGGAATTACACTGTGCACTGAAAACTCATTCTCGTACAAAGCTCTAACGTGTCAGCTTCCCTTCAACTCAGGATAATCTCAGAGCGATTTGTCTCAATGTGGATGCTACTTAACGTCGCGATAACGTCTACGCGACACTTCCAAAACAGAAGAAACGTCAGTCATCCGTCCGTCACGGTGGCGTAAGTCGCTCGGATGCACCAGGGCATCAGCAGACGTTTGAGGGATTTATAGGGTATCCCGCCAACACCCATCGCCGACACCGACGGATCGATTCGCTAAATTACAACCCTACGTTCGCGCATTACGTCCTCTCTGCCTCCCTCACTCGTTTCCTCTCTGGTGACCGAGCGAACGTTACCCTCCGGGCGCGATCATCGAGCATCATCGAGTACGTTCTCGTCATATAACGCGGCGTGACGTCACGGAAGCTCGTGCCTATTAGGGGAGCAACGCCGAGTAGTAGATGAATTTATGGGGATGGATACATTGTTCCATTTCGCGCGGAGGATCCTGGTAAGCTTCTCTCGAGCGCGTCGCGAGGACCCCTGGCGAGAGGCCGAGGAGGGAAAGGGGGTGTAAGGAAAACTCCTTCAATATGAAAAGAAATCGCTGGGCGACGAGCAATGAGGGTCGGCCAATCACTCGAGGACGGCCCGCGAGTGTCAGTTGTCCGTCAAGAGATCGTCAATGACGTCATTCCGAGACGAGCCTACCAGGATTACAGCCCCGAGCTAGATTTACGAGCGTCGCACAATCAACAGGTGGTTCGCCGCGAATTATAGGTAATGTAGGCGCACGCGCGCATTAAGGGGTAGAAGGAGGGAGGAAATGCGACAGAGACATGCATTGCTACCTGCGTGATTTCTTTCGTGTTGGCGTAATGCGGTGGCGATCAATGTGAAATATTAATGTGAAAGGAAAATGCATATCTAAAAGCTATCGAGCATCTTTATATGTTTAATTATTATATTTCATCGAAGACAATAAATAATATAAATTTTTGAATCTACAATATATATTAAAAAAATTATAATAATTATTTTTTTTCTAATTTACATTGATAAAAGTGATAGGAAGCGAGCAAGGGGGTTAATTTAATAATAAATAATAAATAGTAGGAAAAAACTAAAGCGTCCAATGTCAACAGTTTTTAAAACGTTTTCTAACAATAATTAAAGAAATTAACGTGAACGTAAAGTAGAAAAAAATAAAAAATTTTTAATAGAAACTAAAGCATCTATTAACTTTAATTATGAAATACGTTTAAATCAGGATTGGTAAAAAACATTTTAAAACATGCTTAATTGTTGTTTTTAATATGTTTTATACATATGTTTTTTTTTTTAATACTGTCTAAAGCATATTTAAGCCTATTCTACAATGTTCTCTTTGTTTGACATTTCTTACTCTTTATCTCTTGCTTTCTTCCCTCTTTGCGACCGTTTTATTGACAATCATATTTCTTGCTATGTATTTCTTGTTTCTTCCGAAGTTCGTTAACTTTTATCTCGGGCGATAAAAAAACGAGAAACGGGAAAAGAGGCAAAAAGACAAGATGTAAAAAATAGCAAAAAACAAGAAACAGGAAACAAAATGCACGTTGTAGAACAGGCTTTAAAGCGTTAAAAACATATTTAAGAAGAAACATAATATTTTATTCTTAAAAAAAACATTAGTCTTCAACCAACCCCGGTTTAAATGGATCTAATGGTTTTAAT